TTGTGGATTCTGTAAGTACTGTTCCATTTTCTCTATTATCTTGACAATAAAAGTTGTTTGGATTAAAAAAAAAATTACCCCACCTATCATTATTGTTCTAGAAGTGGAAGTGTTTTTATCCTTTAGAGCCAACAGTAGTAAACCTCTTTAACACAGTGCTCAATAAACCTATTGTCATACATATTAAGGCTTTTCTTTGGTTCCAACCAGGGCTGCTATTTAGATATCACGGGACCACGTACAGTCTACCCCCTAAACCCCTTTCCCCCACCTGAAAATATCAAATTGATATTTTCACAAAAAATACACTAAAATCATTATTAGTGGGCACAAACATAACATAACTTACACAATTCCTGTTAAATCTAGATGATAAAACTGTATTGAGTTAATAAATAAAGTTCTGTGTGTAAGTGAAGGCCTGGGGCTCATTCACATAGGTGCTGTGTGGTCTGTACAGGGTGAATCAGTGTTTTTTTAATGTGGCTATTGCTGTCTGCAGATGGGGATGCAACAGCTGTACGAACAGACAGGTCCTACTTTGATAGGTATGTGGGTGCAGGTGTATGGCTCCCAAACACTGACAGTGTGTATATTTGGGACCACCCACCCACACCTGCACACTTACCAAATTAGGACCTGTGGCTGTGTTCACATAGCTGCAACATAGAGTAACAAGACAACTTCAGCTGTGTAAAACTGTTCATTCACACTGTATGGTCAGATAACCCATGTTTTAAAATGATATTTTAAATTTTTTTAAAAAATTATTTTTTACAATTTTCTTAAATAATTTCTCTTATAATTAAAACAAAATGTTTTCTACAATTTGTTAGTTTTTTTTACTACATTTTTTAAAATGATCTTTTACTATTTTTTACAATGCTTTTCGAGGGGCTTGGGTGAAATTTCAAGGGTCTAAACAGACCTCTGACATCTCACCTTTGAGAAAGAGAAAGAAACTGAGGACACAGATTCAGTTTCTTTCTGTGCAGCCCCTGCATTGAAGATGAATGAACAGAAGACGGGCACACAGCAGGGGGAATCAGATGTGGACAGAACAGGAAGGGGGATCATTGCAGAGGAGGGGGGTAATTACAGGAATGATGCCCTGTGTTTCCCTCCCTGCAGCAGCTAATAGCTGGCGGGAGGGAGAAAAGGAGAAACTGACTTTCAGCTGCTGCATAGAGCCACACAGGGCATCAATCCTGTAATTTGCCCCACTGCACTGGTCTTCCTTCCTGCCCAGCCCACATCTGATTCTCCGGCTGTCTGTGCCCCCCTGTGTGCCTGGGCCCCCTACAGGAAGACCAGTAGTACCCTCTTTTCAGCGGTCCTGGTTCCAACTATAATAAAGAAAGTAATATAATTTGAGCTGTACCTATTGTGACATAAATACACGAAAAAGACAGTAAAAATAAAGTGCATCAAAATAGTTTACGTACTTCCATTGCAGTGAGAACTTTGACAAAAAACAGATGCTTAGGCAGTAAATTAAGTGTAACAATTAAAATATATAAGGATAACTTGAACCACTTATTTAGATGAAAATCACATGTTTGTATGACAACCATTTATTTAGCACAATAGGATTAACATTTAAAAATAATTTGAACCATTGTTACTTGGCATCCACTTAAGACCCTCTATGAAAAACATTTCAACATACCCTGGCTTAATTAGGCTGCTTGTTATTTTTTTTTTTATTATTACTGTACCTAGGCAGTCAAAATCTACATACCTCTCTCTGCCCATTTTCTTGATAGCAGTTCTGCTACTGATACTTGGCTTCCCTGTAACTAAGTGTTGGAGGGTACACAGAGAAATTGACCGTCCACCTGCCCCATTGTGGCTGTGCTTGAACCTGATGTTTGGCTGGATTTATGCTGCATATCAGGATAAAGGGAAGTGGTATGTATTTCACAGGGCTTCAGCAGATGAATATGTGGTAAGGGAGTGAGGAGAAGGTAAGTATCTATAAGGGAGGGTGTACCTATTATGTGAACAGGTTACTTTGCCCTGGATGGGCAAAGTGAATGATTTACTTTAACCTCCCTGGCGGTATGATTTTTCCGATTTTTGGTGCTGAAAGCAGTGGTACCATTATTTTGCATGGAAATATGTAGTTTTTTTATTGTAGGCTGTAATATTTAGGAATAACTCACTGAAATCTGTCCGAACAAGAGTCTAGTAAACATCCCGGGTAGGATAAAATTTGAAACACAAAATCATAAATTATAATTGAATAAATAATCATAAAAAAATAATAATATAATAATAATACATTTAATTCAATAATATAATCAAACCAAAAACACTGAAATTTGAAATATAGCGCCATAATAAGTTCGCACATTGCTGAGCAAAGTCGCAAAATCGTTTTCAGTGTCTGATGACAAATTTCCCCACAAATCATTATCACTCAATTCTGCAAGTGGTTCTGATTTACTATCGCTGTTCTCTAGCTGATCTAAACCGCTTTTGACCTAAAGGGACACTTTTTGGACGCCATGGACGTTTCTCAGTTTCCAGGCAGAAAGAACAGACAAAATGCAGGCAGGGCACAGGACAAAGCACTAGGAACAATATGTATGTGAAATGGGTTGAGACAGCAATGTTTTACTATGTAAAATGTAAAAAAAAAAAAAAATGACATTTTTTTAAAATTTTTAAATTTCCCGCCGCCGGAGGCGCCCGTACGTCCCGACGTCACAGGGACAGGACACAGAAGCCGGATGCCGGCATCCGCCGAAGGAGATGGCCGGGGACGCTGCAGGGGACACATCGCGGGAGCGCAGGGTAAGATAAGTGAAGAACAAATGCCGGAGCAGTGCCGCATGGTATTCCCGAGTGTAGCTCGGGGTTACCGCTCTTGGTACTGAAATGTTACCCCGAGCTACACTCGGGAATACCGCTAAGGAGGTTAAAGAGAATTCTCTGGCTCAAACAACCACACATACAACATATCACCACCCATATACAATTTCTGCTCCACAGTGAGCAAGATTTACATAATGGGGTTGATTTACTAAAAGCCAATAGACTGTGCACTTTGTTAGTGCAGTTTCTCCAGATCAGTAAATGAAAATGTAAAGCTCCACTTTACAAAGAATACCCAATAGCCTACAACGAGAATAAAAAAAAAAAAAAAAAAAGCATTTTTTGCTTGCACATGAATGGATGTTGGACGTTTGCAGAGCTTCCCCTTATTTACTAAAGTCTAGAGCAACTGCACAGTCTAATTTGTCTTTAGTAAATCAACCAATTAAGTATTATAAGATCTGTGTAACAAAAAAATTTACCATGTTCATAGTTTTAGAAAATGCTCCTTGCACATTTTTCTTAATTTCTTGAATCTTAGTGCAGCTGTTCCCTTCCAGCTTCTTTGCAGCCAACTTTCTGATAAATTGCATGTACTCCAGCAGTGGCTACATGTCTTTGCTCTGGGTGGGCTTCCTAATGGTGACAATAGCACATTTTGCCTGTGCAGTGAGTGCCAGAACAGCCACTTATGGTCTTCACTGAAAACACATGTGACAGGGTTACAATGCTGGAGAGCAACCGGGAAACAGGAACAGAGTGTTGGACTCCAGAACAACATACTCAAAGAAGTGCTGGAAACTTTTAGATTTGCATGTTTAGTCAAAGGAAAGAAAGCTTTAAACAAGCTCAACAGCTTTAGTAAGACAGCTCCCAGGCAGGAAGGCTTCCTCAATGAGCACTTAACAGTAAAATTTGAGTGGACTCAGCAACTGCTGTCAAGTTGTTTTTACATGCGGAGAACTCAATATTGATTCTAATATACTGTAAATCTGTTAAATTGTGGTTTTATCAGTCCACCCATGTTTTATCTTATGTTAAGCCCTGCTGAAGGTACAGCAAATTCCAGTTGCAGCGGCCTCTGAGGATAATTTTGGTGCACAGTCCTTCTTTGTGGCAGAGACCTGAAGACAACATCAGCGGTGATGGGGAGATCCTCCAACTGTTGTCCAACCAGCCTGAAATGCAGCTTCTCACGTGCACAAACTGTGGTGGGGCTCTGAAACTCCATGTCAGCCTATCTATTCTAAGCTTTAGTTCCTCCCTAGTAGTTTCTAATCTGACATGCAAATGGACCTCTAACTACCAGAAGTGGAAATTGGATTCCTAACCTGGTTCTAGCCTATAGTGGTTATCATGCCCTGAGATAAAGCTAGCTATATACTCTCAGACCAGAAGGGACAGGAATAACTAAAATAACAGGAGCTGTATATAAACTCTTTTCAATAAATAGGTTGACCTACTAATATACTGGAAGGTGACCACTACACAGATACACAAGTACAGACCTAGCTATCTGGCACTGTGCATGTGATATATTAACAGTAGGACAGACATATTCCATCACAAATATTCAGAAATACACTCAAGAATCTGTGGGCAGCTGTGGTTAAACTAGAGTTGCATCAGATTTTGCACTCTCCATTTTTTGTATGTAACCCCCTATATTTCTAGGGACAAGCATTGTAACCCATTAACAGAAAGTGCCCGAACAAGAATTGGTATGGGAGGATCACCAGATAAAAGCTTAATGAAAGATGTAAATAAAAAAAAGAAAATTATTGGGGAAATGACATATTAAAGGCTGCATGAGAGTTTAGTACAGTAGTTAGGTTCACATCGACTTTCTACATACCTCTTTTCTGATTTGCCCACATTTAAGTAGATATATTTCACAGAAAAAAAAATGTAGAACTGTTGTACAGACTCCATAAAGAGCATTGCAGCAGTTGGAGTAGGCCAGATTTTAAAAATGACACACAGCATGTAGTTTTATAGCCCCAAAATTCACATTAAAGTGTCTATATTTAACTGCCTCCCGCCTGCCATATAAGGAAATGACGGGCACAAGGCGGTTCTCTCGTTCTGGGAGGACGTCATATGACGTCCTCCCATTCTAACCACGCATGTGCGCCCAAAGGGGCACGCAGCGCGGCAATTGGTAGTATGCTATGTCTCTGGGACACAGAGGATCACCGATCAACAGAAAAAGCAGAAGACGTCGGCTTGGTCATGTGATCAGCTGTGTCCAATCATAGCTGATCGCATGTAAATAGGGAAATGCCAGTTATTGGCATTTCTCTCCTCACGAGCTGTCACACTGACAGCTTGTGAGGAGAGGAAAGGAGAGCCGGTAATCAGCATTCCTCAGAGGTGACATGTACACTGATCATCAGGGCACTGATGATCCATGTGCCCTGATGATCAGTGTAGCCCCAGCAGTGCCACCTGTCAGTGTCCATCAGTGCCATATCAATGCCACATATCAGTGCCTACCAGTGCACATCAATGCCACATATCAGTGCCCATCTGAGCTGCCTTTCAGTGTCACCTATCAGTGCCAGTCAGTGCCACCTATCAATGCCAGTCAGTGCCACATATCAGTGCTGCCAATCAGTGCCACCTATCAGTGCCAGTCAGTGCCACCTATCAGTGTGCATCGGTGCTGTCTCTCAGTGCACGTCAGTGCTGCCTATCAGTGCCGCTTAACAGTGCCAGTCAGTGCCACCTATCAGTGTGCATCAGTGCTGCCTCTTAGTGCCTGTCAGTGCTGTCTATCAGTGCCACCTAACAGTGCCAGTCAGTGCCACCTAACAGTGCCAGTCAGTGCCACCTAACAGTGCCACCTATTAGTGCCATATATGAGTGCTGCCTTTCAGTGCCCATCAGTGATGCCTGTCAATGCCCATCAGTGCCACCTACCAGTGCCTCTTCATCAGTGCCCATCAGTGCCACCTATCAGTGTCCATCAGTGCAGCCTATCAGTGCCCATCACTGCAGCTCATTAGCGCACATCAGTGAAGGAAAAAATCACTTATTTACAAAATTTTATAACAAAAACTAAGAAAAAACTTTTTTCTTCATAATTTTCAGATGTTTTTGGTTTGTTTAGCAAAAAATAAAAAACCCAGAGGTGATTAAATACCACCAAAAGAAAGCTTTATCTGTCTCAAAAAAATGATAAAAAGTTCATATGGGTACAATGTTGCATGACCGCACAATTGTCATTCAAATTGTGACAGCGCTGAAAGCTGAAAATTGTCCTGGGCAGGAAGGGGGTATAAGTGCCCTGTAGGCAAGTGGTTAAAAGAATAAAAATAAGGAATTTTGTGCAAGCGGTATAGACCCCATTGTAGCACTTGGATTAGGCCACATTTGCAAAATTACACACCACTTTCAAGCCAAAAATGTTGCCAAATGTTTATAACTTTCACAGAAAAATGGAATATTGTGCAGACCCCATAAACAGTATTTAAGCATTGTTGTAGGCCGCATTTGCAAAATAGCTCCCAGCTCCATCCAGAGCCCCTAGCACACTTCAAAGCCCCCTTATCGGTTCCTCCCTGTGACACAAATATCAGGTATTTTTTCCTTCTACTGACCACTTATGCCAGAGGGTTCTTCCTCTTACTGACCACCAGACATGAAACCATTTTCACTCCAACTGACCACGAACACTGAAGTGTTGTCCTTTCCATTACTACTGACACCAAGCCATTTCTTCCTTCTACTGACCATTGATGCTGGGGCATTTTTCCCCATTAGTGGCCATCAAAACCAGGGCATTTTCCTATATTTGCATGACCATCAATGTATACTTGTTTGCACTAGAAACTAGAGTATAATATTCCTATTGTTGCACTGTTTACCAAAGCATTACAGGTGTCACTATATAAGAGGGAGCGCATTTCAATGACCATCAATGTACTTAAAGAGATATTTCTGCGCTGACTGACAATCATTTTTTACTCTCCACCAATATAAAGAGAGCTGTTATCAGCAGTATAGCATAGAAGTCCCAAAAAAGTGTAAAAGGTGCTGTTGTTATGGATGCAATATACAGTAATCCAATGTTAAAATATGCTGTGTAGCGCTAACTCCTTCCCATTATGTACTGTGAATAAAGAAATATAAATTAGCATTACCATATAGTGCATATTAAAGCAATGATACCAAATTTAAATGTGTATATGAAAGTCCATATGTGAATCAATCTACAAAGATGACCAATTGACAATGAAGAGAGCATAAAATAGTGCAATGTACAAAGTGCAAATAGAGCCCTTGTAAAGTCAAGAAGTGAACTGCGGTTAAACAAATAAACCAGAAAATTCCAGAAATGACCATTCAAAAAGGTTTTTTACTATATGGAAACATCCACCTTCATGTGCAATCTCTATACATCTCCCAACGAACGTGTTTGCCAACACCTCCACTCACCTGCAATAGAGCCTCAAGCCTCTTATGAAGTATTGTGGACCATTAAGTGTTCAATGGTCAGGAGCTCTTTAAACGTAAGATGTCTCCAATGATATCCAGAACCGCAATCACATTTGTCAATGACCGATGTTACTGCCAACCAATAAAGGGATAAAATGTGCAGATCATGGTGAAGTATGTAAAAACCTGCTATTAAAACATTATGAACTTACATGCTATAGTCACATAATTGCATTGTACAGCATCCCACAGGCCGTCAAAACAGGCATTTCCTCCTACACCAAACTCCCGCCATTACCATGCATGATGACGTCCTGTTGCTGCCACACCCTATGAGCAGAAAATTATGTTGTCATGAGACTGGCTAGATGGCGCCCATCATGGATTCATCTCGTATACAGTCAAAGAGAAAGAGGTTACCAAGGTAATAGACGCTATCACTGACAGCGCCATATTATACTAAAAGGCCTATAGATGCTACTCCATAGCAACCCATAGCAGAGGCATCTTGTGGCTCAAAAACATAAAATGTATACATTCTGCCTGTTTTTTACAGCAAATTTCAGAAAATATGCTAAAATGAATTTAAACCAGACTACAAAAATTAATTAGAAACAAAATCTAGAACCATTTACAAAGGAGTGAGTGTCCATATTAAATAATAAAAAGGCAGTATCACTGGAGCTGGATCTAATAATACTACACATGACAAATCTAAAAATGTAAATATATGTTGTAAATCATCGAATGTAAAGTTCATTAATATGGATAACCTACCAAGCATGACCAACAATGTGGCATATATAATCATAATCCTGTTTCAACTAATGTTAATAAAACTATTTATGTACCGTTCAACATTTAGGCCGAACTGTGTATAGGTCTTCAAATTATAAATCCACCTTGTTTCGAGGTGGTAGATTTCTCTTCTAACAAAACTCCCTCTCCAATGTGGGGAGAATTTATCTAACGCCATAATATGTAGTTTTGGCAGGTTATTTATTATGGTATTTCATATTATGTTTGGGCACACGGGTGACCCAAAAAAACAGATTTTATATTTGCAACATGTTCTTTCAGTCCTGTCTGTAACACATCCTTACTGTACCCCGAAAATACTGTTAATCACACAGGCATTGGATCATACACTATATTGTCACAAGTATTGGGGCACCTCCTCTAAATCATTATATTCAGGTATTCCGATCACCTCCATGGCCACAGGTGTATAAAATCAAGTACCTAGGCATGCAGACTGCTTCTACAAACAGTTGTGAAAGAATGGGTCACTCTCAGGAGCTCAGTGAATTCAAGCGTGGTACCGTGATAGGTTGCCACCTGTGCAATAAGTCCATCCATAACATTTCCTTGCTACTAAATATTCCACGGTCAACTGTTAGTGGTATTATAACAAAGTAGAAGCAGCTGGGAACAACAGCAACTCAGCCACGAAGTGGTAGGGCATGTAAAGTGACAGAGCGTGGTCACTGCAACTGTCTGTAGAGTCAATAGTTAAAGACCTCCAAACTTCGTGTGGCCTTCAGATTAGCACAACAGTGAGTAGAGAGCTTCATAGAATGGGTTTCCATGGCTGAGCAGTTGCATTCAAGTCTTATATCACCAAGTGCAATGCAAAGCGTCAGATGCAGTGATGTAAAGCACGCTGACACTGGACTCTAGTGCAGTGGAGATTTGTTCTCTGGAGTGAAGAACCACGCTTCTCTATCTAGCAATCAGATGGACATGTCTTGGTTTGGTGGTTGCCAGGGGAACATGACTGCACACCACTGCACAAAGCAAGGTTCATAAAGACATGGATGAGCGAGTTGGGGTGGAGGAACTTGACTGGCCTGCACAAAGTTCGGACCTCAACCCGATGGAACACCTTTGGGATGACTTAGAGTGGAGACTGCGAGCCAGGCCTTCTCATCTGACATCAGTGCCTGACCTCACACATGCACTTCTGGAAGAATGGTTAAACATTCCCATAGGCACACTCCTAAACCTTATGGACAGTCTTCCCAGAAGAGTTGAAGCTGTTATAGCTGCAAAGGATGGGCCAGCTCAACATTAAACCCTATAGACTAAAACTGGGATGCTGATAAAGTTCATGTGAGTGTAAAGGCAGACGTCACAATATAGTGTATACAGTATATCATATTTGTGGTACTGCAAGTCATAAATGATTGCATATCATAAATTTTAGAGATTTGTTGCCCATAAATTCCTTAATTTTTTATTTCACACATTTGCGACAAGGAAAGAAACCTTTCATTTCCTAGAAAATCCGGAGTTTCATCAGGGAGTCGATAACATTAGGGGTGTCAGGAATGGACTGGCCAGCAATAGTGGGACTCAGCTGCCTTATGAGCTGCAGTACCAGGGCTGGCCAGCGGGGTGCTCCCAGCAATCAGAGACTCAACCTTGCAGCCAGTCAAAACACCTGGAACTAATTATACTGGTGTATTTAAGGGACATTCAGACCTGCAGACTCTGCCTTGGTGTTGTGTTTCTCTTGGGCCCTGTATCCTGTTCCTGCTCTCTGTTCCTGTCTGATTCTCTGCTGACCCTGCTCTGATCCCTGGCTTGTCTGACCATTCTCCTCTGTCTGACCCTCTGTACCACGCTGCCCGCTACCTGCTGAACCTGGCCTGTGACCCCGACCATTCTCCGCTTGCTCCCCCTGTACCTACCTGCCCGTTTGTTATTGACCCGGCCTGCCTGACGACGCTTGCATTGTATGTACTGTTATCTGTGGGTGGTTGGTTGGTTTGTTTGCACTGTGTTATGTTTTAGTATTGCACTGCGTTTATGTTTGTATGGTTAGTGTTAATAAATTACATTGTTTATAACATATCTGAAGCCTGCTTTTCCCTGCGTCAGTCACACACCTCTGGTCATACCCAGGAGCCCTGACAAGGGGCCACTAAAATTCCTAAAGGAGGTACACCCCTATAAACTACAGGTGGATTTTCTGGTAGGTCTTTAGAACAGGCCAATGCCTCTTCATAATTTGTTTAATGGCCCATTGCTGTCCCAAATAGAATGTATGAAATGCCCAACTAAATATATATGTATCTGAGTCCTTTCTTTCTACCTTTTTCTTGTTCAAAACATTTTATTATTTTTTCAAAGGCAAGGAAATAAGTTTAGGACAATGCATAACTCAGCATGTTGGATAGTCAAAGTAGTGGATTAGGAAATATCAAGGAAGGAGTAATAA